AGTTCTAAAATCGCAGAATCTTTTAATTATAAACTTCTTTAATTAAAGGATTGTATAAAGAACGAGAACTTACCTGTGAATCGGAAATCTCGCCCGACATACGACAACAACAACAGAATTTATAGAATGCATTCCTGCAGAATTCTATAAATTTTCTCCTCTTTGAATACTTGTCTGGGAACTACGAATCCTCTCTATTTGAATGGAGACACGTTGTTCCAAGACAATTTTCGTCCAACTAAGAAAAATCAATAATAAAAATCATTTACGCTTGCAACATTATTGGAAAAAAGTATTTAAAACTTCTTTAGAAAAATAGATATTAACTCAATCTTAGTCATAAATAACACTGATTTTCCTAGAGAAAGAGTAATATCTTACCTTTGTAGGACAATCTGTAACTTGCTGAGCATTTGGTTCAGCATCATCATCTCTCCTGTAAGGAAATTCGATTATATCGTAATTAATATTAATTAAATCGCAATTATAAATGTAATTAATGAGAAAATTTACCCTTTCTTCTTCTCCTTATTACTCCACACTCGCAAAAAGAACCTTTTTAGGCAGCGCACCATTTTCGCTTCGCAATAGCAACAATAGAATATTGTTAAATGCAGCTTATTATTAAAAATTGTTGTAATTCATTATTATGAAAGTACATTTAATGTGAAATCACGTGATTAAATATATGAAATTTCATTTATGTATTAAAATGAGCTTTTGGAGAATTCTTTACAAAGTCTTATCATTGTTTTAAATGTACATTTCTCTTTCATTGCAATTAAACGGAAAGTTTAATTCCTCGGAATTAATAAAGTTAGAAATTTTTATTTTTCTGTGACTTCAGCTTCTGTTAAAACATATTGCACTCCGATGGCTCCACTCAAAAATCGGTTCAGGTTCTCTATAGGAGCCGATATCTCCGGAAGTAGTTCAGTTGTCTCTTCCCGAATCGCGAATAAGCATCACAACCGTGAAGAAATGACTTCATCCGTTGTTAATGAAATGGAAATGAGTGATACAGAGGATGAGGGCCGACCTTATTATTAAAAAAAGAAAAAGTTTTTAAATCAAAGCCAGCTTTTAAGAGATAAATTCACTTAGATATAATTTTATATGTTATTTGAATGCTGTCAAATCTCAATAAAAGGAACCAATTTGATAGGAAGAACATTATCTTTTAGAGTAACAGAATGCTCGTAGCATTTTCTTACATTTTCGTATTTAATTCATTTTCTAATGTTTCACGAAATCTATAAAGAGACCAGACGTGAATACCTTAGGGATGGGCGGCCCCGATTAAGTATACACGAATTCCGATGCAAACCGGAAGTTACGTTATTTCAATTCAAAATGTTTCCCGAATGGTGTTAGACCCTATTGCCGGCACGACTTTATCGTTAAAGGAAAAGTATAATAAACAGGGCCAAGTCACTACTAATTTGAGGTGGAGAGAATATACTTTAAATTAAATATATTTAGAACAGCCCGGAATGACGATGTCACGATAAATGACTCGATCTATTTTTACTATCAGGTAACGGTCAAAAAATAATCCCGAAGATTTTAATATTATTGGACTCAGGGAATCTTGAAACGTCGAGAAATGTAAAAGAATTGGGGGTTTTCTGTATGCACGGATGTTAGTTTGTGTGTATGTATGGAGCACGATTTTGTTCACCCTGTTCGAAGCCTAATAACTCCTGTACTTTTTGTATAAAATTTCTGATATTTTGCAAGGTTTATGTATTAGGGAAATTGATGCTGTTAAATTTTGGTGATTAAAGGTCGAGAGGGTCGAGGGATACCCATTGGGGGTCGTGTGTCATATTACGAGTAGGGTCGGACTTAACTATGACTTTAGTCGTTACTAGCATTTACAATTTTTTTTTTCTTATAAAACCCGTCTCCACCCTCGAAGTTAAGTTTATTGCCATTTTATAATAGTTTAAAATATAGAAGGATTTTAATAAAATGTAAGAGATGGCGTCATCAAATGTTACCGGGAAAGTTAAGCAATTAGTTGCTGGATCTTTAAAATATTTTTCCGCTGATGTTAAAAACGTGTTTATTAAAAGGCTCGCAGGTCTCATTTTAATGTAATTTTACTTCTCATGCGAATTTTTCACTACTAAATTCCAAGTTTTTCAAAGCATATTTTGCTGATTTTTGTTTTATTATGAATTTTTACTCTTTTCGTCATCTTTCACAACTGTCAATAATAACGTCTCTAATAAGAAATTTATCCAAAACTGCGCAACTTTAATATTTATACGCTTATTCACTGCTCCAACATGACTTCACAATCAGATAAAATGTCCCAGATGGCAAAGAATTCGATGTATTGGCCATCTTGCTTTCTTCAGCCGTACATGGTCTTTGACTGTTGTACTGGCATGTCTGGCACTAGAAGATTTCCAAACAGCAGACACAAAAAGTCCAGCAACGAGTAGCTTAACTTTCCCGGCAACATTTAGTGGCATCAACTGTTATGATATTTTACAGTATTTAAAAAATCTTTTTATATTTTTAACTATTGTAAAATGGCAAAAAGCTTAATTTTGAGTATAGGAATGGGTTTTATAAAAGAATTGTAAATGCTAATACCGAGTAAAATCGTCATTAACTCCGACTCTACTAGAGATACACACGACTCCTTTTATCTCCTCGCCTGCTCCACCTAAAATCACAAAAATTTAAAAGCATCTATTCCCTTTATACATAAATTAGTCTTATATTTTTTCGATCGAAGTCACATTTTTATTTAAATTTTAATTTATTGTTTTAACGGTTCTCTGTTGTGGAACTGTCGCCCACCAGTTGCGGAGTGAACTCCTTCCCTGCACTTATAGTGTGGATCAGTCCCTAAACACTGGAAGTTCGGTCGTGGGTTCCCACCTCGCTCGGACGGGCTTGCCACGTAGAGTTTCACGCCTAAATAGGTGCCAGTTTACCCTAAGGGTGCGACTATGCAGACGCGAATTTAGAGCGAGCGAGGGGTTGCGATCGATTTAGTTTTCGCAAAGGAAAACCATGCACAAACGAGAAGCGAGAAATAAAGCTAGCGAGAACGAATTTCTGGTTCTCGCACATATCTGACAGGTTTTGATATTTATCGCGTCTCGCCTCTTCTCGCCACATATTCTCGCTCTCTCGGAAAATTCGCTCGCTCGCGTCTGCATAGTCGCACCCTAAAAGACCTTCCGGAAGGCATTATTCCCGCGCGTACTAGCCAATTACTAATACTACGTTGATGTCCAACTTGTTATAAATGATAACCGATATCGAATCGACATGCTTCCACTTTTCGTACGTTCTTACATTCACGTAAATTCTTTCATATACATTAGGTTTATTATAATATACAGTCGACCCCATAACACTGTTGATAATTCCGTTTTATATAAATTCCATGTTGTACGAGTCACTTGTGTAAGGGAATAGTATACTATGATTTCTTATTGTATGTAAGTATTAGTATATTACATTTATCGTAAATTATTTTAATTTTAATTAATTATTTTAACGGTTCTTT